TTAATTAATAAGACTTTATAGTAAAATTTGATATAAAGTATATTTTCTTAATTCAATTAAATTATTGGTAAAAATTTGTTTGTATATGAAATTAATTAGACTAAGATATATATATATAATGTATGACTGTTCGGCTTCTTCCTTTTACTTGATTTTCAAGGGTGATTGCTTCTAAATAAACATTCTGGTTGTCTCTCCTATTATTTACGGGGCCGACTGTGACCCCTCTATTAGTTTGAGATCGTATCTAATATCCGGGGCTTGTCTTGATTTTGTACCACTCTCGCAGCCATTTTCGTAGTTTTTCAAATTTTACATATTTTTTTTTTTAAATCTCCTAAATAGTAGACATGTTTGCTCAAGTCCACCGCTAACCGATATTGTCCTTTTCCCAGCGTCCTACTGGCTCTCGTTTCTTTCTCTAATCGATGTGGGACCCCACCAAATTCACCCTCTTTGGAGGCCAGCGTCCTTACTGGCACACAGCGAGAAACCTAGCACATTGTCTGGTGTCTAGCTCGGATACCATTTGTAATTGCCCAATCCACCGCAAGCAGATATTGTATTTTTTGGGCTTTTCCTTTCGCACTGCACCCTTGTAAAATGGTATTTTTTTTTTTTATTAATATTATATATATGTTTATAATTAATCAAATAATAATTAAATTAAATTCACCCATTTGCTTTGCCCGTATTCTGTAAAAGGGCTTTACAGCTCTGCCCCATAATTGCTCTCTGCCCCCTCATTTATGTGGATGACCAACTCTATCCATCTATCTACCTATATCTATACATATATTTTTCCTATTTTTCTATCTCAACTTTATCGATCGTGTTTTTTTTAACCGTGCCGTGTCGTGATCTTGACATGTTCATGACATGTCTTAAGGAAAAACTCGAGTCTCATTCACATTTTTCGCCCAGCTTTATGGCTTCGTCTACCTTCACTAACCGAACGCAGCTTGTGCAGAATCCAAACTTGTCCAGTCACACATGTCATTCATGCATACGACACAACAACGTCGTATCTCATTGTCATCTCGGTTCCCAACACGATCCATGCATCGTGATGTCATCCCATGTCTCGAGACACATCGACCATCTTGGCTTGCTCGAACACATCCATTGGGAACTAACCCATGTGTCAATCATCTCATCGGACATTATGAACATCCATCCATTCGAGTTCACTCGAGCATTGGACACTCCCATGTCCATGTCATACCATTTACAACACACATTCCAAATAGTGAGTGCATAATTCAACCTCCAATACATAAGCTAGACTGCAATACCAACACGTCCATGTCGTGTAGTACTGTCCTTGAAAAACACTTTTCAAAGGAAGACGCCCAAGACACTCGCACACGCTGTGACACACGTATGTGTCATATGATAGCTCACTTAGGCCTCAAGGCCCAAGGGAGGGTTCAATCGACCAATATTTACGAGCAAGAGTACGAATAAGTCAATAGTTGATTATTTTGAACGATCTCGATATTAAAAAAACGAAAACAGTAAAAGATCGGAAGAAAAAAGTGGATTTAATAATGCAAAATTATGACCTCTCCACCCAAAACTTTTACTTGATAGCTACTTTTATTCCCGCTCATAATTGATCTCGTTTTAATTCAAACTATACCAACATGTAAATATCTGAGAAAAAATCTTCAAAAACAGGCAGATCATGATCATCTTTACGCAACTATTTTTTACTCGTGCGAAAACGTTCTATCTGTAGAGATGACGGGACAATAATGGAAAGAATAACGGAAAATTAAATTAGAAAATTATGGCAAAAAAGAAAAGTGTGGGGCCCAAATGTTGTAATTGTGGAGGTGAGGGGGACCATATTGATAATGTTGGGATTAATTTGCTTTTTATTTATTTATTTATTTATTTATTATTATATGTCTAAACTAAAAGCAATTTTAATTAATTTATTTATTTTGAATATTCTCTCCCGGCTTTATGCTATTTATAATAAATAATAAATAAATAAATAAAATGGATGTGATTGCACTAATTTCTATATTATAAATAAATATTATTTTGTGAAAATTGTTATTATTATTTTTTTAAAGTATTTTACATATTTTTATCGTGGTTAAATAATAATGATATAATATGAATTTTAAAAAGTTAATATAAAGTTTTGGATATTATTAAAAAGCGTAACAAATGTAAACATTTTAATGTAATATAATTGGAGGATGAAAAGGTAATCTATTTTGGGTCTAACTTTATATTAAATAAAAAATTAATTTAATTAATGTAGCAATCAACCTACTTTCATAAACGTTTTCCAGTTAAATTAATAAAAATATCACTAAATTTTATATTCTATCGGTCTTTAAAAATCTTTGATGTATTAAAATATTTTTAAAATTTTAAAAATTAAAATAATATAATATTATTTAGTATTTTGTTTAAAAAATATCTTTAAATTTTAAAAGGTTTTATTCCATCCGTTTTAAAAATACAAAATAAAAAATAATATGACATATGTACATAATGCTAGTCGGGTTGTATTAAAGGATAATAAAAATGGAAAAGTTTTGGGCACTATGTGTGCTCATGCATTTGGAGGATACCCATATCTCATTACGAGGGTACGGACGCATACATCTAATGGCAGGACAACGATCATTATGTTTTGCATAACGCTGCCCTGACGGTTACTAGTTCTAGCGGGTGTCCGGTCTAAGGGGCTCCCAAAGTATGCCCACCGGATAAGGAAAGTGGCCTAGCGGTGTGCGAACTAGCTGGTGAGCCCATACTCGCACGTATGGGCTGTGTGTAGAGTATATGGTACACATCCAAAATTACCCGTTAGGACAGCACCGTAGTAAAAACGGAATGAAAGATAGGTCCCATCATCTCATTGAATGTGATCGTTGCATTTAACCCCAATAATGGGGCCACTTACTAAATATTTTTTAAATACTCAAACCATGTGTTACTACATTTTTCAGGTTTTGTACCATATTTAAAAAATACCCCTAAAATTTACGTGAACATCCTAAACTTTTATTCTCCAACAGTGGGTCAGTTACGGAGTATTTTTTAAATATTCAAGTCATGTGCTATTACATTTTTCAGGACTTACTATATTTAAAAAATACCCATAAAATTTATCTGAGCATCCTAAACTCTTATTTAAAAATATCAATTTTTTTTCCCTCATATATTATATTTATTTTTAATGTTACTAAAAAATTATGTAAATTTTTGAAAATATAAAGATATTTTTAAAAAATTGAAAGAATAATCAAAATTTTTATTTTAAGTTTAAAATATTTTTGAAACAAAATATTAAATATTTCCATCCAAAACTAATCGTAACCATATTATATTATATTATATTATATTATATTATATTATATTTTATTATATATATATATATATATATAAAATTTATCGAACTATTGAAACTTTTTAACGTTTAAGAATATTTTTAAAATGTAATCCAATATATATATATATATATATATATATATAATATGTGGGAATTTGGTCACCATTGATCGGGGCACGAGTATTTATAAAAATTGGTCACTAGCAAATAATAACAATTTGAATTGATAACACTATCTCAAAGAAAAAAATACCCGAACATTAGAGACTATATAGCATATTTAAGACTTCAATATTTGGGTTGAATCCATGCAAGTTGCTTAGGGACACTTTGTTTTTTTTTTTTTTTGGTTACTCGTCTTTTGATAAGGTATTGTCGCAGTTGTGCTGAGTGTCGACGGTGACTCGTCAATACATGCATGACTTTTTTCTCACTTGTACCACACCTTTTATTCTAATCTTTTCTCACTAAAAAAAGAAAAGAAAAGATCTCGAACTTTAAAAAACGCTCATTCCAGTCCTTCAACTTTAAGATGTTTTTATAGATAACGTGGCTTTATATGTTTATGTTAACGTCACGTATACATATTATTAAAATAATAATAAATATTATTATTTTTTAGTTCGATAAAAAAAATGTTATATCAATAAAAAATATTGAAAATAGAACTTGGCCCAAAATCTAAAGCTTGTGATGGCCCATAAATTGGAGCCCACGATACTTGTAAAGGCTCGTGAAGCGCAAAGTCGGATTAAAAGTTTAGGATTTTATTAACACGAGCTATATATTTGTGACTCGCTCGGACGAAGATTTAAGCTCTTAATCTAGTTTATAAGTTTTTGTTCGGTTCGGGTCAATTCAAAATTTTGTTTTATGAACTCGAAATTGAACCAAATCCTATTTGAGTCCAAAAAAATTAACCAAACCCAATACAAAATGTTGATCCAACCCAACCCTTATTGGTTTCTTGTTGTCGGGTTGAATGTACACCCTTAGACTTATCGGTCTAATGAAGAATTTTACCTGTTACCAGGTATCTGCACGACTTGTCTAATGAAGATTTTAGCTAGTTTTAGAATCGGGTATTTGTGTGGCAAAATTTGATAAATTTTCTACGAACTAGGTATGACAGGAGACAAAGGTGAAAAACCCCGAGAGTGAGGATGGAGAGCATAACTCCAACCTTGCTCGGTTTTGTCATCCCGAACATAAAGCCATAAGAAAAAGAACGAGTTGATCATTTCCGTCTTTAATCACGAGACTTGATACCTTGGAGGGAGCACGAAACACGTGAATTAAAATTAAATTAAAAATAAAGTTAATTTCCTAAATAAAAAGTAATTTTTTAAACGGTAAATTTATAAAATTCGAACGTTAGGATTATAATAATTAATAATAATTGATATAACTTTTGAAAAGTAAGAAAAAATGATTTTTTTTTTTCCAAACAAATTATAACCGTTATCGTTTAAATTTCCATCACCATTTTCCAGACATCTCAGCCGTTGAAAAGCAAATAAAAAGACAAAAATCCAACATAACTCAGGTGGCCCCACCAAGATCTCCAACGGCTAGTTTTCCTGTTTTCCTCCACTTTCCTCGGCATATAAATTGGAAAGCCATTCTCCTCCAACTTCACAAACAAATCCAATTCTTTCAATTCATTTTCCTCTCTCTCTCTCTCTTAAAATTCTCTCTCATCCTCGTCCATGGCTGCTCTTTTGAAAGCTCTGTTTCTTTTCGTCTCCGTGTTCTTCAGCTTGTCGGAAGCCAGAGAGATCTTGGTCGGAGGCAAAACCAACGCCTGGAAAATCCCTTCTTCTCCAGCTCAATCTCTCAATCAATGGGCCGAAAGCTCCCGGTTTCGTGTTGGCGACACTCTCGGTAACATCCCTACACTTCTATCATCTCTGCTCCAGTTTTAGCTTCAATTCGTACTTTCAAAACGTCCACAATCCCACGTTGGTTGGGGAGGAGAACGAAACATGTTTATAAGGGTGTTATTTTAAAGCCTGTAGTGTGTTACACGAACACGACTCTCCACAATGGTATGATATTGTCCACTTTGAGCATAAGCTCTCATGACTTTGGTTTAAACTTCCCCAAAATGCCTCATACCGATAGAGAGAGTATTACTTGTTTATAAACCTACGATCATTCTCTAAATTGGCCGATGTAGGACTTTCATCATCCAACAGAGTGAAGCCCGAAAGATATCTGCTATACTGGTGGCCGAGCCATTACATTCACTTTTCTTCCACTCTTCTTCAGTTCTTTTTCTTATCCTACTCCGATATTATGTTGAGAAAACCAATTCGTACCGAACAAATTATAGTTAATTATAGCTATATAAGTTATATTCTACGACTAACTTTATATCTTAAATCAAATTTTGTAATCGGGAGATATTAATTTTTTATTTTTATTTTTTTATTTTGGTATTTTAGTGTGGAATTATGAGGAGGGGAAAGATTCAGTGTTGAAAGTGAGGAAGGAAGATTACGAAGCCTGCAACATTACGAACCCACAAGAGAAACTGGAGGACGGGAGCGCCAAGGTGGAGCTTCAGAACCCGGGTCCGATCTATTTCATCAGTGGAGTAAAGGCTCACTGCGAGCAGGGTCTTAAGCTTGTCGTGGTCGTTATGACTCCTCGTCACAGGTTCATTGGCATCTCTCCGGCGCCTTCTCCGGCGGAGATTGAGGCTCCGGCGGTTGCTCCCTCGAGTGGGGCTGCAAGTTTGAAGGTCGGGGTTTTGGCTGTCGTGGTGGGGATTTTGGGAGCTCATATGACTTAGGGTTTGATTCATTTTGGGTGTAACTCCACATTCAATTTGTTGTTTCAAATTCGATCATATATTGATTTTTTAAACGAATAACGATTAAGAACATCACGTAAAATTCTATCTCCGAACATGTGAAGTAGTGGGATTTCCATCCCGACTCATAAGTGTATGTGTGATAAAATTTAGAGATACTCTCCTACAGTTTATACGGTCGGGTCGAGAAGGGGATTGGTAAAGGTTCCAGTAGTCTTGCAATTTTGTTCATTTCAATCTTGTTTTGTGGACAGATAAGACATGTTTTCGTGAGTTGTGTCACTTCGTCCTAAAGGTTCGATCAGTAGTACGATTGAACTACCGATCATGAGGATCATGAGGGCATAAGCTCTCTGACATTGAGACATGAGGGCATAAGCTCTCTGACATTGAGACAATTGTTGTTCCATTGTTACACAATAGTACGATTGTGACGGGTGACGAAATTAAAAAATGAAGGTAGAAATTTATATAACTAATTAAAAGGTTATTTTTGAGATATATATAATTTTGTTTTTAATGTAAATCATTTATACTTGTTATATAAAATAAATAAATGAATTTATTTAATTGTTAATAATAATTATTAATATTTTATTAATAATTTATCACAACTATAAATAATTTATTTTAAAATAATTATTAAGATAGTAAATGAACTAAAAATTTTAAAATTGAAGGCATGTAATATATTTATTTAAATGATTATTAAAAATTAATTAATTTAATACCATTGTTTAAAATAATTACAAGACAAAATGTAAATATTATTTATTTATTATATTATGAAATTAGATGATTTTTTTAATGGTGAAAAATTAGGGATTCTTTGGAATCTTCGTTACGGTCATCGATTGACTTTGCGATGGTTAATTTCTACGCGCTACTCATTGTCGGTCGTTGTTTATTGCCTTCGCTCTCGCGCTCTCTCTCTCTCTCTCTCTCTCTCTCTCTCTCTCTCTCTCTCCCACACACCCTGTGAGCCGAGGTTCACTTCCGCTTCCAATGGTGATTTTTACAAGCTTTTGATGTCTTTCTTTCTCGTTTGCTATTTGCTTCATCGTTTTTCATTCTTTAATTTCACGCTTCCGAGACGAATTTGCAGTATCGGCTTATTTCAATCGTGTTAGGGTTTCTATATCGATCTGAAAGTCGTCACGATTTATGAGATTTTTGAAGTATTCATCGTGTTACTGTGTTATAACTATTCAATGAACTTATCAATTAGTCACTTTAACTGTGTATGTCTTCTCCCGACAAAAATTTAAGGACTAGGGATTTTTGAGTAATCTGTATAATGTACACTGAAAATGATACAGTTTCATATATTTTGGTAGTGTTGTGCAAATAATGATTGTTTTTGAACTTGATACCTTTAAACTGAAAAAGTGGAATGATTACTTGGCGCTTTGGCATATGTTTGTAAAGAGTGTTATATTGTGTGTTGTCTTGAAATATTGATGGTTGTTGTTGCTTAAGTTTAAATTACAACGAAACATGAACACAGAGATGATGATTCTTGATTCCCGTCTTAGCAAGAAGGACTTTTCATTGCGTAATATGAACATGAAGCTCTGGTTTTGTTTGTAGAGAGATCATGAACCTTATGTTGATCTTGAAAAACTTCTTTAATGTTTTGTAGTTCTAAGTTTTAGTTTCTTTCCCTTTGTGTTTTAATTTTAGACGAGTCAATGATTTTCTGATGAGTTACATCCGCATTTCTTGTTTAATTTGTAACTAACTATATTCTTTATCTCTTTCTCATTCAGGCCAACAAGCATACCATCCTTCTTATGCAAACATCTCACAACAGATCAACTAGGACTTTTATGGATTATGATTCAATAAGTCAATCTATGGACGGTATGATTTATCATTGTATTGAAGTTTATTTATCACCTACTTTTGTTGTCGGTAGCAAGTTTAATCACCTGTCGAACTGATCAAAAGATCTTAATACTTTCGAGGTAAAGAAAATGCAGGGTGTGGGAATAAACAATTGAAGGTTTTGGCTTCTAAAAAGCTGATGTAGAAAGTAGAATATCATTATATGATTTTAAAGGTTTGCCATACCTTCCATCGACTGGTTGGTTGGTTGGTTGGTTTCATTAAGATATTTATATTTTAAAAAGCTTTGCAGGTTTATTGATTAGTAAGAGTCGAAGTAGTTTCGTGTGATGACATCCAAAGGATAATTTGAACTTATTACATATGAGGCTTTTATCTCATCTGCGTGTCTTGTGACGGTTAGGACCTTTTCATGCATGTTTAGATTATACACCTTTCAATCTATATTCACTTAACTTTGGAGTTCAAACTTTGAACTTCAAAGCTAATATTAAATTCATCCACCCATTTGAGATCCCACATCGGTTGGGGAGGAGAATGAAACACACTTTATAAGGGTGTGGAAACTTATCCCCAGCAGACCCGTTTTAAATACCTTGAGGGGAAGCCCGGAAGGGAAAGCCCGAAAGGGAAAGCCCAAAAAGGACAATATCTGCTAGTAGTGGGCTTCCGCAGTTACAACCTATCTTTAATGATGGCATGCAAAATTATATAGAAGTCAAAGTTATACCCCTAGAGCATCATGAGAGGCCTGGGTGTCGCTTTACCTGTTATTTCTAATAACTCAAACTCATCATCTTCTCAATCGTTAGTATCTTGGCTGCTAGATTGCCTGCTTGTAATCTAATCGATGTAACCCTTTCTTTTTAAAAATTTTAAATTATTGAATTTTCTGTTATACCTTTTGATCTGGTACAGGTATATGTGGCCTATACGAAAGGAAACTTAAGGACTTAAATCCGGCCATCAGAAATATCACTTATGACATTGCAGATCTCTACAATTTTATCGATGGCCTCACTGATATGAGCGCACTAGTGTATGCTGCCTTCACTTTATCACTCTTTTCCCCTTCCCCACTACTCCAGAATAAAAATCGAACTTTTCGGGCTGTTGGAAGAACAACAGTTTTGCCCACAATCTTCAAAATGTTCTTTCTTTTATATAATTTTTTCTGTAGGAATCATGAGTTGTTTAGTTTTACCCTATAGAAATCCTCTTATTTTGATGTTGGTTTTTACTTGTTCTTCTTTCAACTTAATCGAAAAGTAATTACATAAAAAATAACTATAGGACATAGTCATATATTCATCACTAGGGTCCATGCTTGCATTGTCATAAAAACAGATTAAACAGGAATGTCAAAAGATATTTGGTAGAACAAAAAGAACTTGTCCGTCCAGGAGTTATTTTAGGTTTTAATCACTGATGAACTGAATGTCAGGCACTTGGTAGTGTAGATGGCCTTAAATGGGAGGAGTCATGTTTTATTGCACATGCATCGATCAATAAGCGTTATAGGCTAACTCATGAATCGATATTCTCTAAAGCATGTCCATCTATCTATGTTGGTTTTGAAGTTACAATATCTGATTTGATTTCACAGATTCGAGCATTCAATTCAGGGATATTTGCCTTATGATCGGCAGTGGATTAAACAGAAGATCTTTCAACATCTGAAGAAACTAGCACATTGAGACAGTTACAGACTACTGCATTTGTTCTCAATGACATTCTAAACTTCTGCATCATATGATGGAGTTAAAAAGGCACTTGTATGAAGAGTAAAAATTTATCTCGTCTTATCTGCCCTCGTTACGATCCCGGGTTTGCTATTACACGGGAATCCATACCTTCTATGCATGCATCTGTATCTAGAAAATATGTGTCCTGTTTTTCTCATCTTTCACTGAAAGTATCTGTTATGATCCATGAGGTTGTTGGCTGTTGCAGGGTGCAAGTTTTTTTACCATCGTTGCAGGCTTCTATGGTTTTGGGAAGATGCAGAACCTTGATTGATCCTCCTCACAGTCTAGTTAGTAGGAAAATCATTTGATATCATATAACGTGATTTGGTTTTTACTTGAAGAATTTTACCATTTTCTTTCTTTTCTGAATTGTTCTTTAGAAGCAGTTCATAGAATAAAACTAAACAAAACAAAAGGATTATAAAATTTAATTTTTTGGCTTATCTTAAATATTTTCCTTTTACTTCCATCTGAAATAAACAAAATTTTAGAAGTGAAAAGTATACCTACAAATTTAATTTGTAGGTTCTGTAGGTTCTTTAGGCTTTCCTCGGGTTTGCTAAGGGTGTTTCGTTCTCCTCCTAATCGATGTAGGATCTCATAATCTACCTTCTTCAGGTCTGCACTCATTTCTCTCTCTAATCGATGTGAGATTCTCGGATTCTCTCTAACATTCATTCTTCTCTCCAATCAATGTGGGATCTTATAGTCTACCCCCTTCGGGGCCTAATAGGGGTCTTCGCTGGCACTCATTCCTCTCTTCAATTGGGTTAGAATCTCACAATTTGCCTCCCCTCTCCCTTTGGAGCTTAGCATCCTTGCTGGCACACGGGTCAATGTCTAGCTCTGATACCATTTGTAACAACTGAAGTCCACCGTTAGCCGATATTGTCTTTTTTGGGCTTTCAATCATGATTTTTAAGACGTGTCTGCCAGGGAGATGTGTTTTCACACCCTTGTAAATAATGTTTTGTTACTCTCTCCAACCGATGTAGAATGTCACATTGAGGTTGAAATCATATCACAAAAAAATTGAAATTGTATCAATGTAAAATATTTTTTAGTCATTAACTTAGATTAAACCCTAATTCAATAATTGAAAAATCTTAAGATTTGATACGCCTTGCAATATGAAATTTCAAACTGTTATTATTAAAATTTATGGGATGAGAGTCACAACTAATTAAAAATATTTAATTGATCAAATAAAAATGTACCGGTTAATGCATATATATGAACAAAATATAATTTCTAAAACATTAAATAAAAAAAATTTAAAATTAAAATAAATACGTTGAGAGCATATAGACAAAAATAAAATGATCGAGGATTAAAACGAGATTAATATATACGTATTTATCTAATAACAGAAGTAAAGTAAGCATGCAAGTAAATCTAATATTAACTTTTTTACGAGAAATTTGAATCTCCGACCTTTTTGTCGACATTTATTATT